GAAAAGAACCTGGGTTTCAATCCTTGCTTTACCATTCACTAGCTGTGTGGCCCTGGACAAGTGAGTTAATCTCGCTGTGCCTCAATTTCCTCAACTATAGAACGTAAAATACAGTTGACCCTTGAACAATGCACGGGTTAGGGGTGCTGACCCCTGTGCAGTGAAAAATCTGCATACAACTTTTGGCTCCCTAAAAGCTTTACTACTAATAGCCCACTGTTAACTGGAAGCATTACTTACAACATAAACAGTCAATCAACACATATTTTATATGTTCTATGCATTATATACTGTCTTCTTATAATAAAGTAAGCTAGAGAAAAGAAAATGTTATTAAGAAAATCATAAGGAAAATATATTTAATATTGATTAGGTGAAAGTAGATCATCACATTTTTTTCCTTGTCTTCATGTTGAGTAGGCTGAGGAGAAGGAGGAAGAGGAGGAGTTGGTTTTGCTGTCTCAGGGGTGGCAGAGGTGGAGAAAATCTGTTATTGACATTTTGCTGGACTGAGCTGGTTGCCTCCTGTTGTTGTGGAGCTGATTTACTTCATCCCAACTTCTTGATACTTTCACTTCTGGAGGTCATATTTCTCTAAGACCTTCCAGAAAAAAGTCTGAATGCTGCCTTAGCCATTTTTTCCAGTCCAGCTCTTAAATTTTTTCCTTCTCTTCCCCAGTAATAACGTGAGTATGGATCCAGCTTGTCCCCAAAGCCTGCCTTGCTTCGAAGCATCTGATTGTAAAGAATCTTCACTTATGCCTGTGATTTGTGGGCCTGAAGAAAACTATCCATCCTTGCAAATGTCTCCTGCTGAGATGCCTCACAAGGAGACCATCTGTCCTCTTCCTTCCTCCATGGATCTGCTTATTCAGGAGAGCTCTGATTCTCCCACCAGTCCCAAAGGCAAACAACCACTGCTGCAGAGAATAGTGCCCCAAAAAAGGAGGACAAGGTCCCAGTCAAGAAACAGAAGACCAGAACTTTGTTCTCTTCCACCCAGCTGTTTGTACCCATTGATAGATTTCAGAGACAGAAATACCTCAGCCTTCAGCAGATGCAAGAACTTTCCAACATCCTGAACCTGAGCTATAAACAGGTGAAGACCTGGTTTCAGAACCAGAGAATGAAATCTAAGAGGTGGCAGAAAAACAACTGGCCACAGAATAGCAATGGTGTGTGTGACTCAGGCCTCAGCACCTACCTACCCCAGCCTCTACTCTTCCTACCGCCGGGAATGCCTGGTGAACACGACTGGGAATCTTCCAGTCTGGAACAACCAGATCTGGAGCAATTCAAGCTGGAACAATCAGAGCCTGAACATCCAGTCCTGGGGCAACCACTCCTGGAACACTCAGACCTGGTGCACCCAGTTCTAGAACAATCAGGCTTGCAACAGTCCCTTCTATAACTGTGGAGAGGAATCTCTGCGGTCCTGCATGCAGTTCCAGTCAAATTCTCATGCCAGTTTGCCCTGGAAACTGCTTGGGAAAGCCATAATGTAATAAAGCAGACAACTAGGTATTTTAGTACTCTATAAACCATGGATTTATTCCTAAACTACTCCACGAACATGCAACCTGAAGATGTGTGAAGGTGAGCGAAATTGATATTACTCAATTTGACTCTGGGCACTGACTGAATCCTTCCTCTCCCCTCCTCGCCTCCCTCATAGGATTTTTCTTTTTTGGAAACCACATGTTCTGGTTTCCATTATGCCTATCCAGTCAATTTGATGGAGGGTGGGGTATGGCTGGAGCCTAATCAGAGAGGTTTCTTTCTTTTTTCCTGTTGGATCTTCCTGGAGGAAAGACATTTTAATAACCTTGGCTGCTAAGGACAACATGATAGAAGCTGTCTCTGGCTATAGATAAGTAGATCTAATACCAGTTTGGATATCTTTAGGGTTTAGAATCTAACCTCAAGAATAAGAAATAAAAGTACAAATTTATGTGAAAAAAAAAGAAAATCTGTTATTAGTGATCCCACACAGTTCAGATCCATGTCGCTCAAGGGTCAACTGTACTTATTTTACAGAGCTGTGAAAATTAAATGTATCGATGCATGAGAAGCATTTAGACAGTGCCTGACATACAGAAAGTGCTGAGTAAATAAAAGTTCTTGATGATAATAATAATGATGATGACTCCACCCATCAGCATTAAACAATTGCTAGGCAATGAGTTTCCATGTATCTCTGCTACCAGGCTCAGTAAACATGAAAAAATATTTTTAAATTTATAGATCTTTTCCCTTCTCTTCCTTCCTTTGATTAAGAGTTTGACATTTATCTTTCTTTACTTTTAGTCCCCTTGCATTGCCATCAATCTACAAACCGAGGCACAAAGCTGTGGGGAGCCTGTGGTCAGTGGGAAAGTCTAGCAAGCGTCGGATACAAGGAAGGTTAGCTGTGTGTTGCCTCACAACACAGCCCAGGGCTGAGCACATCAGTCCTTCAGACATCTGCTCTGCAGTTTCTCAGTCAGCCACACAGAGCGTGTAGGGTTTAGGTGCTTTGGGCACATAAAAATAATTCTGTACACACTTATGAGACCAGACAAAGAGGCAGCTGGAGCGTCTCATGTGTGGTCACATACTTTCTAAATGATCAATATGACTTTCAAAGTATTCGCCATCAGTGGGGTGAGAAGTAGATTACATCCACCTGCCCTTTTTTAGGTCACATGAAGAAACTAAGCTAATCATTTTACAGAGCACTTTTTTTCCCTTCAAAATATATCTCCAGATGATTGATTTCATAGGAACTTTGAAAACTGTTTCTGCAAAGTTTGGTTTTAGTGGGGAGTTTTGTTTGGTTAAGTCTCTGATTATAGTTTTTTTTCCTCTCTTTTTGTATGGTTTTTATTCATTTGCTACTTTTCATTAAAAGCAAATAAATGGGGGAAGGGAATGTTGGAATTCCAGTTAATTAAGACAATAAAAATGCATTATCCATTTGGTCAAAATAAATTTTCTATATTATGAAGGAAATTCACAAAGAGGTTGCTGTTTATAAATCAATATGAAGTAAATATTAAATAGTTGAAAAAGAAGAAAATAAAAAGAAACCCATTACCTTATTCATCCAGAGAGCTCTTGGAACTAAAGAAATGCTTTCACCAGAGTTTGAGTTCTAGGATGCATGGGAAAGCCAGTGAGAACAGTGAAGCTCTCTTCCTGTCTTTCTCTCAAACATGACAAAGGCTTGGTACCAACCCCCTTTTCAAACCTCAGGATTTGGTCTGGGAGTGGCAGGGAAGATGTGGCATCTGAGGTAGAACCTCCCCTCCAGGTTCCCATTAGGTCGTCTGCCAGCTGTGTCTCCCTCAATGCACTTTTTTGTTCAAGAGAATGCACCATCAGTAAGCAATCCGATTCACACCTGAATCACCGCAGTTGTGGATCCTGGAAGAAACTGATCTTACTGCTTTTGGAGGTGGAGTGTGTCTACCTGCCTGAGGATAACAACTGTTTCACCCTCCGCTATGTCCAGCTGATTTCTGCAATGATATCGATAGAAACTAACAATACCTGTAGAAAATGATAGCCTATAACTAATTGATGGAAAGACAAAAGAAGAGAAAGATGATTATGTGGAAAATTTCCACAAATGGCTATGCTGCTGCTAAAAGGAACTTCAACAATGTTAAAGCCATTAGTCCCGGGAAGGGCAGACTCTTTAAGCTGCTTGGTGCAAATGAGAAGATGGATGTTATTCGGGCAATGGCTGATGTCACCTCCATCTGCCAGGCACGGTCTGCTAGTAAATAATGTGGGGTGCCAGAACAGTAAGTGAGTGCTTTCTTCGTCTCAGAGGAGGCAGAACTGCTTGACGCTGCAGGACAGAACACAGTCTGTATTTCAGATTCTAGTTTCACTTAAGTGGATGATTCCTTTTAGATTGAAGCACATGAAATTGACAATATTTGATTATTGTTGATGCATAAAAATGTCAATTTCTTATGGTTCAGCTCATAAATGTAAATATATAAGTTTTCCATTTTAAAAGACAAATTCTGCCACCTCAAACCCGTGTCTGAACTTGGAGAGATGCTCATTCCCCTACTTGCTAGAAGGGCCAACAGACCAAGGTGACCTCACAGATCAGAGGTCACAAACAAGCACCGTGCACATGGAATTATGACCCACAGATCTGTGTTCGCCTTGGTACACACATAACTGGCTCTGAAAACGTTAGTTGCCAGAATTTTAAAACTCCCCAGATTTCATACCGCTCTTGAAAATCAGCTTGGCAACAGTGTGCATTCCCACAGGCCTTGTGATAAGAATTGGCTAACACTGTGAAACCCCGTCTCTACCAAACATACAAAAAATTAGCTGGGCGTGGTGGCGGGTGCCTATAGTCCCAACTACTTGGGAGGCTGAGGCAGGAGAATCACTTGAACTCAGGAGGCGGAGGTTGCAGTGAGTTGAGATTGCACCACTGCACTCCAGCCTGGGTGACAGAGCGAGACTTCATCTCGAAAAAAAGAATTGGCTGACCAGAGTAAAGCCTGTGTCCTTAGGATGAGGCATGTGTTCTCCAAGTTCATCAAACTTGTAAACCTGACCATTTTTGTTTTTCACCTGGCCCAGGTGGTCTTTTCAGTCCTAGGTTAACTAAATGAATTTGTGTTTGTGTGTCCTCACCCAAAATGCCGAAGCCTGCAATCAAAATGTCAAAAAGTGGATGATGTTCTGACCAGTTAACTGTTTCCCTTCTCCACGTAGCAGCCTCACCCCCAATGTCTTAGAGAAGGTTCATTTGGTTACAAGGACCAGATGGGTAGAAAGGGAGAGAGACAAGAGAGAACGCACAGTGGGAAGGCAGCATCTGTAGTAACCTCGCAAACAAGAACATGTTTTCGGAATCTCCACTGACGGGAATTCTACAACCTCTCTCTGTAATCCAGTCCTAATGTTGAGCAACCTTCACGGTCAGGAAATTCTGCCATAAATAACCCAAATCCTTCATGCAGCTTAAACCCATTTCCTCTTACTTGCTGCTCACTGGAGATGGGGAACAGCTGGTCACCGTTCTCTGTACCAAGTCCTTTGTCAACTGGATGATTGGATTCTGGCTCTGGACTGCTGTCATAATTAGGAGCCTGACCGGTTCCATATTGTGCTGTCTGCAAAAGCATGTAAAATGGGAAGATAAAATTTTGAGCATGCTGTGCTTCAGAAATATGCCATCGGGGGAACACAGTGCCTTATCATGTCGCCAGGCTGTTCACAATTTATAAACTTGTGAATGTGAGATTTCTGCATGGAAAAACGTGTCTTTCTGAGGCTAGCTCTGCAATGTGAGCATAACAGAAAATAATGCAGAGAGTTTCTAAACACTACCAACAAAAATAACACAGTGTTTATTAAGCATTTCCTGTGCTCCCATTATCTGCCTTATCTCACATGCTCTTCACTACAACACAGTAGAAACTTTGCAGGTGGGGAAACTCAGTCCCAAAGAGGTTACCTTGCCCATGTTTATGCACCAACGAGTGGGAGAGTAAGTGTGCAAACCCAATCAGTCAGACTCCAGAGCCTGTGCTCTTTTCAACCATCCCTCCAGCTTGCACACAAAGCAGGTGCTGGTATGTCCCACATGGCTCATGGCATGGTGGGGTACAGTCCTTTTGTCTGAACAACAACACTTCGCCAGCAGAGACCAAGAAGTCATGGTAAAAATCATGCATTGAGTGTTCCTGACGTAGAGCAAAGATAAAACTCCAAAGAGCTTTATGGTACATAAAGCTTGAATTCTTCTCACCGAGTCCCATGAGAGACTCCAGCTCTCCACTTAGATGCAGACACTAAATGTTTCCCCAGTTCCCAGCTGCATGATGTCTTCCCAAGCATGTGCTTCGGAGTCCAACCTAGATCATAAGCAAGGTTCTGCCGAATACCACCCGGTCACCTGGGATTCTGGCTGGCCTGCCTCAGTGTCCTTGGCAATAAAATGGTGACAACAGAAATTGCTTCGTGGTGTCAGAAATACACATCTCTTGCTCTCTCTATCCTCTTGTTTAACTAAGTTTTCTTGCTGTGCTTATTTCTACTGACATTATTTGTTATGTGCCCCTCTGGTTATTTTTTTTACCTCCTTCAGTAACCTGTGAGCTCAGCATTGAAGAGGCTTTGCCTGTTTTACTCACCACTGTATTCCCAGTGCCTAACTCAGTGGCTGGCACATAGTAAACATTCAATAAATATGTGTAGAATGACTAGGTTCTCATTTAGGAAAATTACATGAATTAAATGAAACCATCTATGTATAATGTAGTAAAGCATAGTTCTTCTCACTTCTCATAGGGTTTTCTCTTTCAAATGGAATAATCTGTTATTTAACTTTTGTGCGTCTGATTAATCAACCTCTGTTCCCTCTATGGTTCTGCAACCGTCACTCTAATCTTCTCTTTTATCGTGGATCCTTGGCCCAGATATCGGGGGTTCTTTACTGCCTACAACAAAACCTCCTGAATGCCCAGTAACTCAATTTCTCAAAGCATAGCACACAGACACTATGAATTGCTTACCGGACACTACCCACTTTCTTGTGACTTGTTAGCAGAACTCAGACTCAGGCCAAACCTCAGGCAAAATAGCTCGAGTCAGTCTGGCAATTCAACTTCCTCCTTTCCCAACATCCTTTGCAATTAGGGGTGGCCATGACACTCAGTCCTGTCAGGGAGAAGTAGGGAGGTGCGTGGGTCAGGGGCAAGATCTCCTGGATATGCTTTTGTTTTCTTTAGAAAAAGGATACAGCCAGCCATCCCTACTCCACCTTGCTGCTAGCTGGAACATGGTTCTGATGTCAGAAGCAACAGCAGCTATCTTAGCACATGAGGCAACAAGCCAACAGGCCAAACATGGAGGAACATAAAGAAAGAGGCAGCTTGAGTCTCTGATGATATTGTGGAGCAACTGAACAAATGTCAGCATCCACCAGCCTCTAACCTCTTGTTCTATGAGAAAAAAATAAAAATTTCAAGCAACTATTAACAGGGATTATGACACCTATAGCAGCAAAAATTTCTTTACTACTGAGTTTATAGACTTCCTTTACGACTTAATCCTTCTTTTTTCCATATTTTCTCATTTATTTCAATAACATCACCATCATGCCCCAAATCCTTCAGGCTCCAAATGTTGAGTTATCATTGGATACGAAGGACAAAGAAGGCATCCATCTCTGAGTCCTGTCAGTCTGTTCAAAATGGCTCAATCAAATGAATAAGGATATCTACATTAAATATTTATTCCAGTGTTTACATCAGCCAAAAATGGAAAAGATCTTAATTGGCTGGCAGAGATAAATCATGATGAATAATGAACAGCAAATGAAATAATGATTAAAGTTTTGTACATGAATGTTTATTAATGTGGAACGAAGCTAAAGATGGACTTATATATTAGAAAATTAAGCTGGAAAATCATATTTTTATTAAAGATGGATACAACCTATGCATAGAAAACATCATCTAGAAAGCTATTTCCCAGGATAGCAACAAGTAACCCTCCGGGTTCTGGGTACTCGGATTGACTGTTACATTTAAAACTTCCGACTATTTATAGTTCCTACATTAAAAACATACTGCTAGTGCAATAAGAAAAAAAGGTTTTCTTGGGTTCTTTGTTTGTTTTGTGTTTGTTGTCTCTGACTCATCCCTGTCTCTCCACTCTCCTGCCATTACCAGCATCCAAGAAATCCAAGGTGACTGAAGTCATCACCTTCCAATGACTCCTCCACCTCTTATTTCTCACTATTTCAACCTATACCATACTCAGCTCCCTCATCACTAACACTCTTCAGGCTACTCCCCGATTTAAAATTAACAATGACTGGTTTCTCTGGCTATAAGCCCCCAGAGTGTTCACCTAGCATTCAAGGGCACATTGAGTAGACCCGTGACTTTATATCCACTCGTTCCTCTGCTCTTGTCAGTCCCCAAATGTTCCTGCCACATGGCACATTTAATCCCACCTCTGGTTCTTTGCTCTGTAGTTCTGCCCTTCTGGAATGTTCTCTCCAACTCTTCTGACAGTCCGAACCCTTTACATTCTGCAAAGCCCACTATAGCCTTTCTCATCAGCCTAGGCCAAGCAGGAAGCTCCTGGGCTGGTACCCGGATGATGAGGCAGGCAGTAGATCCATCTAAGCCTGGCATTGGGAGGATTCAGAGGAGAGGACATCTAAGGCTTCTGGGTCTGCAGAGCAGGCACAGAATAAGAAGACTTCACACCTAATTGCCGGTCATCAGGCTTTTCCACACATCCTCCCATCGAGAACCACAGCTCTGTATAGTCTAATCATTCCAAAGTGATTCTGAGCCTCTCCTCTGGGGACTGCCGCCTACATCAGGGAGCATTAGACAGGGGCATCCTAGTCCTAAGGGTAGCATAGTCCTTCTCCCTCAGGAACCCTGGCTATTCTCCTTCTTTCTGGAATTTTCTAGGTCAGAGGTAGTGAATTCAAATGCCTATGTGGGTCAAGCAAGTGGTATGAGTCAGCAAAGCAATGGCAGGTGTGGGACAAGAGAGAGTCCTGGGGACTGAGGGAGTTGCTATGGTGCAAGGAAGCAACTGGAACTGGAAAGCAACCTCTTATGATTATGCAGGAATGCAAGCCAGTGCTGCTACAGCTCCCACTTTCTCAAAGAACAGAAGGCAGAAAGTTTAGAAAGGCTCCACTAGTAAAGACACGTGTGAACGAAGTATGTCTGTGGTCAGTGTTTGGTCCAACAAGTCCTGGTTTGTGACCCCCAGCTCTGAGGTTCAAGGAGCTCCAAGTTCAGCAAGGCCAGGTTTCAGCAGCAGCAACAGCAGCAATTAGTTACTATCTTCACCTTACATGGGATGATCGTTACCCATAGCGGCTCCACAGAGGTGGCCTTATTCTCGTAACTTTGCCAAGAGTCAAGGACCTCTAAAGGATCTTCTCTTCCTGGTCCCTGGACAGTTAACTGTCTCCTGGGTTGGGGTCTGGCCAGGGACTAATTGGAGTCTGGATGCCTGCATGCTCAAAGGTTTATCTTATTACCCATGCTCACAATTTATTTTCCCATCTTAAAATTCTCTTAGCTTACAATATTCTAGTGTTATGCATGAATCTATACTTCGTATACTCTAATAAAAAAATCTCCAAGGACTTTTCCCCCCAAAGCTGAAATGTATTCTTTTCTAAAGCCTGAGATCTTCTGCTGTACCTAGTTCTATGCTTGATAAGTTTCAAATCCTCTTAACATTTCTATTAGGAGTCTTGGAGGCAACTGCACTCAAAATTGTTGGTTCGGTGTTTTCTCATGGGGAATCAAGGACTCTGAGAAAAAGAGATCTTGTTCAGATGAACTTTAAGAAAGAATTTGTCCTTTTCCCTCATATGTCCTGCTCACCTGTTTACCTGTCTTCACTAATGCACGGAGAGCTCTTCAAGAGCAGGGACCAGCAGGTGTATCCACCCCAGAGGGATCACAGGCAAATCTAGGGTCTGGCACATTGTATCTGCTTGATAGATACTGGCTGAATATTAATTATTTTTTCTCAGAATAAGAAACTCTCTAAAATGTTTCACAACTCAATAAGTGTAGATGAAAAGAAGCAGAACCTGGAAAAGCATTTTTGTGGCAAATGATTGGGTGTCACAGACCACCAGAAAGAAGGACTGCCAAACTCCTACCACGCAAATCCTGGAAAACAATATGGCTGAATGCTTCCCTACGCTGCAATGCAACAATTTAAAGCACATGATTAGCTCCACCTAGAGTCTACCCTTATGAAGTGGCATAAGAAAGTAGATCTGCACCATCTGTATGGTCCCAAGGTCCCTCATCTCCCATTACCCATGCCCTACAACAAGAGAGGAATTTCTTCTTGGAAAAGACCTTGTTGGATTAAAATAATAGAAGTGGCATTAGTAGTAGTAGCAGCAACAGCAGCGTTGGTGATGGTGGGATGGTAGAGACGATAGTAAAAATAACACTTGAAGGCTGACTTGACACCAAATACCATGTGTTCAGCACTTTCGCAGATGATCTTATTTGCATCTCAGAACTCTAGGAGGTATATGTGATTATTTCCTCCCATTTCACAGATAAGGAAACCAAGGTGGTAGAGGTTACAGTAGAGGTTACATGACATGTCTTAGATGTATAAGAAGCCAAGCACCCTCTTAGCCTATACACTGCCTCCCCTGCAAAATACAGCACAGACACGGAACACACAGACCTCTGTGAGGGGCCGTGTGAGGCCATGAAGGGCTCACTATAGCCAAGATCCCTGTAGCACACAACCTAAGTCAACAGCACCAAAACCAATGCTGAAAAAAACAAACAAGTGGAAAACAAACAACAACACAGACCTGCAAAGAAAATACCAGGGAGAAGAAATGGCAGGGAAGAGCAACAGGAAAGAAAATTATCAACATTCCTTTTCTCTATGGTAGCCCCTCATAAATCCATTTCTTAGAAAGAAAAATAAGCTAAAGAAACCTAATACTGCATGTTCTCACTTATATGTGGGAGCTAAACATTGGGTACACACAGACCCAAGGATGGGAATGATAGACACTGGGGATTTCAAAATGCGGAGGGAAGGAGAGGGACAAGGGTTGAAAAACGACTCATCATGTACTGTGGTCACCACTTGGGTGATGTGACCGTTAGACACCCAGACCTCAGCATCAAGCAATATACCCATATAACAAATTGGCGTATGTACTCCATGAATCTAAATTAAATTTTTAAAAATAAGTAAAATAAGACTGAAATTTAAAAAAATATGATTCATGGGGCAAAGCCAAGAATCGTTTCACTCCATGATGCAGCACTTCTGCTTCA